TTTTAATAACATTTTCAGACTTTTTCATCTCTTTTAACAAAGCCAATTTGCGATCTTAATCGTTAAAAAAATATTTGACAGAAGGAATTTTAATATTTACATTGCTTTCTACGTCTTTTAAATTACAGTATATTTTACGATCTTTATTAAATAATTCACAAATTATAATCATACAAAGAAAATGAAAGCAAATGCCATGACGTTTTTCATCTTACTTACGAATCGCAGATGTGGTGCCAAATAAATAATTTAAATTTTAACACAGAATATATCTATTAACTGAAATGATTATACTGAATGACATTAAACAACACACTATATATTCGCATATTAAAAATGGAAAGAAAAGGTATAATACTGAGAAAGAATTGGAAGTGAACGAGTTAGCGTTACATTTAGCATTAGACATGATTTTGCGATTCCGATCTATATGTAAAAAATAGATTGATTGAGCCAAATGATGGTTATGTGTAAATGCGCTGAATGATTACAGATCTTTGACTGTTGAATCTATAATCAAAGAATTTTACCGCTTTGGCCTAAATTGATACTGATATGATAACCAATCAAGAAACTGCAAAAATTTTGACTGTATTTAACTTAATTATTCACAGTGCATTTAATAGCATACGAGCAGCTTCGTATTAGCGAAATCCATCCATAAGCATTTTTGTGTGGTTGTAATTTAAGGTATTGCGCGATTAAAAGCCGATGTATTATCGCTCATTGTTATATATAAAGTGGAACATAAAGGCGAATACAGATTGTTAATTATTGTAAATCTCTCTATTTATAATACGCCTTAGTACCTTTTATCTACGATCTATTAATACTTGAGTATGCGATTGCATGATTTATAAACTATTCAATTTTTAACTAGAATTCTCATTTGAGAATTAATTGCAAATCAAACTGCTAATGCTATTATTTAAAATAGAATTTATTATACGCCTTTTCTATCTAGTTTTCAAGCTATATTTTGCGAATTAAAATTTATTTATAAATTGAATAGTATTCTTCATAAAAATTTTGCAATCCGAGAAGCAAAAAAGCGAGTACTAAAATGAAGTACTACGAAGTAATGACGGAAATTCATCGTATCAAATTCCATGTATCTAATGAACATGTTGCTTTCGTCGCAAACTGTAGCACTTTGTTTGCGCGAGAAAAGCTTTCGTATCTTTACTTTTTGATTTACTCTTGTATTAAAGCACACGTGCTACAAAAGAGCTTGACGCAGTTGAACAAATACACAGAAGTCGCAATAAAAGTCACCGAGGCAGGGTGGACCGCGTCGTCGAATCGTGTTGTTCGCGCCGGGGAAATTCCACGATGAAAAATAGACATTCGCGAAAATCGAGGTCGCGTGAACGTCACGAACGCGAACGACATTTCTGTTGCAATCTCTCGCGCTGAAGATGTATTAAGTCTTTCGTGATTATAACTAGTTTTGTATTAGTCATATATCTACTTATATTTATTTATATATAATACCTTGTACTCATTTCTTAAGTTTTAAGAAGGGGATTTGTTTCATTTTTGTTCCGCAATATATATATATATAAATTGATTTGATTAATTTTTATAAGAAACTCGAAATTGCAACAAAGATTCAATCTACACGATTAAATGTTAATTTTAATGAAAATGAACGATGGGAGTAGTAGAACGAGGGAGTCACGTGCTTGTATCCGGCCGTATTTGTGAAATCATGGTCGCTGTCGTAGACGATTTTCCAGTAAATACCAAAAACCAAAGACGCAGTAGAGAGAACACGCGTGTTATAAAGAACAGACGGACGTCAGCAGCGACGATGCCGCAGGGCCAATGTACGCTGGTTGGCAAGGGTGCGAGCCGAGGTGTCTTCCCCGACGTTTCTTCTCCGTTGAAGAACGAAAAAGACAGGAAGCCAGCCAGCCAGCCCACGTAGAAATTGCAAAGACACTCGCGTTCTTCTGTACGTATATCTATCATCATGCTGATGTAAATTCTGAGAAGTCAATTATAATCTGAAATACTTTATTATAATGCAGTCAAAAAACTATTATATGTAATTGAAGAAATATAAAATTTAAATATTCGAAAGTTTCATATCTCAAACAACACAAGAAAGTAGTAACATATCGAATCGTGACAAAACAAATGACATAAATTCGATCAATAATCAGTCGATATAATCAAATTGATATTATTTCGATTTTCTTGCTCCCCTTGAACTTCTAAGAAGACTAAAAATTTAAAGGCTCAGGAATCTAAGAATTTTAAGATGTCAAGATTAATATTTGTATTTCTCTCTCTCTCTCTCTCTCTCTCTTATAGAGATAGAAAAAAAATTACAAATTATCTCTATATAAATAAACATCTTTAAATTACAAATATTTAAAAAAAGATGAAAGATCTAGAAATGTAAAAAAGATTGAAAATTATATCAAAAAATTCAAGAATAATGTACTGATGGACTCACTACAGATCGGATCTTCGGCTCGTCATTTCATATCCTACGTCGCATGAAGAGGAAGACGAAAGAGAAGTCATGGGGGATTTTGGTCCGCGGCTGTCTATTTCCGTCGACAAGATGTACACGCAGTATCCTCTGGCTGCTGGCCAAGCATACCGCGGAACTGTATAAACATTTTGTCCCTGTTGAGCACTGAGCTTCACAATGAATGGAGAGCAAAGGCCTCTAATGCAGAGGAAGAAGCACTCGAGTTGGTTTGCAGACAGTGGTGAAATTCCACCATTGATTTTACCAGCGCGCCTTCGTTGTTTTTCGTCTTCTTTAAGAAATATACGAGACTTCAATTACGAATAAAATATTTAAATAAGGATTAGCGAGACGCAAAAGGAAAATAAAACAACACTATTCTATTATTTTATAATAAGCTAAATAATACATCGCTGATGATTGACAAAAAATAAAAATATCCTCGTAAGATCAATCTATCTTCCAAAAAAATAAGAAAAAAATAGTTTCTTTTGATAAATTCATAAAAAACATCCAACAGCAGTCGATTTCTAGCTTTCTCATCATTTTGGCCAAAATTAAACGTGACTGCATATTCGTGTCGCAATTGCATTTTTGGCACAAATTCCTCTGAACATTCGCACGATAATTTACTATTAAAGCGAAATAATGACGTACATTTCTGTTACCATTTCCCAAATATTGAATTGCGCATAGTAAACTGGGTATAGCACGTGGTAAAAGCAATAAATATTTATTGCACTATTTAAATTATATTTGCAAACTAGGTTCACTTTTGCAAAATAATAATATCAATTAATATTTTAATTTTATGTCTTGCACCTTTAATAAATTGTTTATAGGATAAATTAGGTAAAATAGTATGCTATGATTTAGTATAGATAATGATATCTGAAATGGCGCAGTGGGCAATTTGCCCCGATGCAATACAGTTTACACAATATTATCGACTTTCATTAGTTGAGTGAATAATTTTGCGTGTATATACAGATAACTGTGTGCTCGAAAGTGTCTTTGTATTTCTTCAAGTATTTAATGCTTAGCATAAACTCCGAAGATATTATGGGTATGGACTGCGCATTCTCTGAGCTTCTTAGCTTCTGTACTCCATTAGAAAGAATTGAATATCTTTTTTCAATTTTAAAAGAGAGAGGGGGGAGGGAGAGAGAGCGCGCAACTCTTTTTAACTTGATATTTTAGAGAGCGAAAGCAATATGCTTTAACCTCACTCTTTCTAAACTGATAGCGATAATTGATAAGTAATGCACATCTGTTCTTATTACGTCTATGTCAACATATTCTTTTGACGTCTTCTATTTATATTTTTAAAAAATTATATATGCATTATATATATATATTTTTTTTACATTTAATATATTTAAATAATTAAGCACATTTTTATGTAATAAACAGAAATACTTTAAAAATATTTTTTGTGATATGAAGAATAAACTTTTTTCAGAAGAAATAATAAAGTGGTTTACAACAAAAAGAGGCTAATCTTGTAAATCTTTGGGAATTTCTTTGTTCGTAAAACTGCGCAGTCAAAAAGCTCGATGCGCGTCAACACTGACATTGAAGCTTTTTCGTCTCGATGTGTAATCTTCATTTCTTCTTTAACAATACTACTACTTCGTCAGTTTGTGATTGTGATACCGTGAAATATATGAATCATATTCTGTGTAACAAAACTAAAACTGAATCCGTTGACTTGTTAAATTTCAATCTTTAAGACAGAGAGAGAGAACAGATTTTTTTTAAAAATCTTGAATTCTTTTATATTATATTATAATATAATCTTAGCAATTAACGATAAAATCGAAATTATAACTATTTAGTTTGTACAATTTAAAAATTAAAGAATTTTTTTAAAAGAAAATTTTTTTTCAAGAAGATTTTAAGAAGTTTGTATATTGAAATTAGTTTTCGAACTTGTGTGTGTGTGACAATTTGTTTACAATTTTATTATCGAAGCTTCTTAAAGAAACCGCTTTTTGTTTTTTAAGAAAGCGCAAAATATGATTTTAATGCAAAAGTTTTAATAGTAAAGATCTAAAGAAAAAAATGATCTCTCAAGAAAATTCTAAAAATATTTTAAAATGGTAGAAAAGAAGCAAAAACTAATTTCGATCAGTACAATTTTAATGTGGAAAACATTTAATTTGACAAGTTGCACAATCTTAAAATGATTTTTAATTTGAAGTTTTGTTAATTGATAATTTTTCTTCGAATATCAAAACAAAAGAGACTTCCAGAGATTTTGAAGAAACCCTGAAACAGCAGAAAAACCTTGAATAAACGTGATTCTAACGCGGAAATTCCGAACATCGAATTTGACAGCTTGCATGTCGCGCAGTGCATCTGACTGCGTTTGTTTTCAAACAAAGAGAGGGAGAGTGGATATACACACACATACAAAGTTGTCAGCTGTTTCGTGACGCTTCCCCGATGGCGGGGAGAATGGCGAAGGCTTAAATAGCACCGCGTATACTCGTGCAAGCAGTGTTGACGGAGTCACCTGAAACGGACTTCGGTCGCCGTGATCTTCAGGAACGTCAAACGAACTAAGGCCTGTAAAGTCCATGCAAATCGCGTAGGAAGTCAACTGGATCTACATTCCGTTGAAGTTTGCTCGCGAGAACGAAGATCCCTCCAGAATCGTGCTTGAGGTGGACTATGTCTTAGACTCTATGAAATCGTGCGAGATCCTGAAAGACGAGTGTCTCGGTGAAGAAATTGAAAATCTGCGCCCAATCTTTTTCCAATCCGGATAATCTTCTGAGAAAGAAGATTCTGTTCTGGTTTCATTCGAATTAAATCTGAATTCCAAATTGCAAAAAAGGAGTTATCACAAAGAAGAACATCCTTCGCAAACGTTAGGATCTAATCTGCGCGGATTTTCATCCTGACAAAATTTTCTATGTGAAAGAAATTATCTCAACTAAGTTGAAATATATACTATATAAATTCTCTATTCAGCTAAGTTCTTTCTATCTTTGGATCTGCCGGATACGATTTAGATCTTCGCTGCAGTGATTCGCAGCGACTAGCTATCAATAGGTGTAAAATTTACACAAAGATCAACGACCATTTAATTGAAGCTTATAAAATGTTCTTTTAGCGATTACAATAGAAATCCAGTAAAAGAAATTATTCCTCGGCGAGTGTACCAAGATCGATGCTGATTTTCGATACGACAAACTCGAAAAGAGAAATTCATATTTGCGCGTTTGTCGCCGTCAATTGTAATCGAAGTGTGAAGAAACATGAGGCCGCCGTATAACGAAGGAGAGGTGCAGCAGATCTCGCAGGAGCAAGGCGAAAGAAATGTTGCGATGGCAGTCTGCGTTCAACTGGCTGGTCGGGCGATCATCCGGGTGGTTTCACGATGTGAGGAAGCCCAGGATAACTGCAACTTAGGTAAAATAAAGTAAAGGACACCATAAAGTTATTTTAAAAAGCGTTCTAAATCTTAAATATTTTCTTTGAATATCTGGAAGAATTCTAGATCTTTGCAATGTTCCTGAAAGCCAGTTTTATCATTTTTATTAGCTTAATTAGTTAATTAAGTATTAATTGTGATTAGTCAATTCTGATTCATTCCGATTAACGATAAAATGCGATTGATTAATTAGTTCCAATGGAATAATCAGTCAATTAAGTTAATCATAAATAGTGAAACTTTCTCTTATAGATGATCAAAAGATAATTCGGATTTTCAAAACACTTTTTAAATTTTTTGGTACTGTAAAATTTAATAAATTTTGATACTGAAATGTAATGGATATATTTGATCTGTGTATAAATTAAATACACATGAATTTGAAACGATAGATGTAAGAATTTTTGATTCGATAGATTTTCGACATTATAAATTTAACAGCGTCGCGTGATTTATATCAACATCTATCTTTAGAGAAAGTTAATACAGCAAGTATTAAATTGGTTAGAAATTAATTATTTATTTTAAGTATTAAAAGCAACAACAGTACCTTTAATACTTACAATAAATAATTATCTAGACAACAAAAAGTTCAAAATCATAATATAAGATAGTCTTTTAAAAGATGTCTTTAAAACGACTTTTGAAGATATTTTTAAAATGTTTTCTCTCGTTTTTAAATATGAGTGTTTTGTTTTGGGTAAGTAATTGAATATTAAATTTAATAATATTAAATTTTTCTAAGGGTAGTTAAAAGGTGATCAAAGTTTCAACTACAAGTGCTTTGGAATATTTAATTGATCAATCAGAAAAAAAAAAGTTCATTAATTGACCAATTAAAGAATGGCTCAAAATTTGTAGCATCGTATTGACCGTACTCAAAATTAACCATAAGAGAAATGACTGTTTCACTAAAAAGTCGAACTTGTAAATACTACATACATATATGTATCTCAGTGTCACGGTTGTACTTCCTGATTTGAGATAATTTCCACCCTTTCCTTATCTGTAACACGCCGTCTGCGCACATTGCGACCTTGATTAGCAAAGCTTTTATTGTTTACATTGTAATATGCCGATGCTTGTGACTCACCACCTTTTATTTTATAAAACGTACTCCGCAGATTACAATTGCGCAGACTATAATTAAATGTAAATTATAATTTAATAAATATAAAAAATAAATTCCAGAATTTCTAAAATTTAAAATCTTGAAAATCGAGGCTTATTATATAGACAAAAAGTGCAGTACTAAGAAAATATTCACGAAATCAAAATATACGAATAAATGTTCGTGATGTTTAGTATTAAAATTTATAAGTTCAATTTTCAAAATTTGTAGTATCACGATTCTACAAAATCGGAAATGTAGTACTTACTTACAGCCATAAGAATTTATTAAATGAAATATTTATAGTGACAAATATCTACAATAAAAAAATATAATATAAATGAAACATCTTGTCTTTAAATTTAAATAAGTATGATATGTAAAATCAGCGATAATAAATGTAATGTTAAAATTTCTATCTACATAATGTCTATTTTATCAATAACTTTATATGTTTTGATTAATATTAAAGGTCTGGATTAATAGTAATGATCTAATACTAACGGTTTGTAATACAAAGACGATATTAATGATGATAGAAACAAAGATTTGTTAAAAATCCGTAACATCAGAAATCCGATTGGAGAACTTGTGAAAGTTTTGTAAATCTAAAACTGACAATCAATAAAACGCAGTTTCTACAATATAAATATAAGATTCGCAGTGTAAATTAATTATTGGATTACGATAAAAAAATATTGCAAGTGGTAAGCGGTAGATCGCAACAACGCATTTCTGCGTATTGTCACGTTAATAATATCTATCTTATCTAATGCATTATCGATGACTCAGTTTGCTTTGTATGGCTAACGAACTCTTATACTTTCATCAAGATTTGTGATACGTTTTTCTTACACGCGTAACACTACAGTTATTGAAAAAATAGAAAGAGGAAGCAAGGAACAACTAATAAAAATTGGTCTATCGCCGAGCGTCGAGACGCAATGTATTGATGATTTCCTGTTGCAGCTCAGCAAAAAACTTATAACATAGTTCCGTAGAAAGTACGGATCATACCAATGACGTATTCATCGCGTAAAAGCAATCATATAGTACGTGAAGAACATTTCCGTTCTACTTTGCAATTTCATATTAATTTCATTAGAGATAAAAAGATACAATCATATATCATAATGAGCAGTATAAAAAAAAAATATATGAATAACTAAAAAAAATCTTTCTTTTTTTCTTATTTAATTTTTCTATAAATGTATAGTATGTACCACTTGTGAAACAGACCATAATGATACAACCACAACAATAAATCACAGTTATACAAAGATAATTTATGTGTTTTGAAGATTTTTAAGATATTTAAATTTCTTACAGATTAAAAATCAATAGAATATTTCTGATATTTACAAACTAAGTTGTTACTATAACAATTAATAAAATTGAAGACTATGTATGAAATTTCGCTTGTGGAGGAATTACGCAGGAATGGATAAATAAATGAGTGGCGTTTCTCGAGCATCAACTCGGATAAAAGTGAAATGTTTGCTTCGCAACTCCAGCATAGATAATTGACTAGATAAACATTGCGTTATACAACGCGCGTATCCGGTCTTTGTCTCTTTCCTTTTTACATCGTGAACCTCGCGGAACAGCTGTGATCCTCTGGTCGTATCTTCGTCTGGTATCCGGACTGATCGTGCGTATCTTCGGAACACCCAATGCATACACGAAAGGTCGATCTCGGAATAGTAAAGCGAAGCCTTGGCAATGTTGATCTGCGCGCACCGAATATTGCCAGAAAGCTACGTTTCCTTCTTTTTATGAATCTTTTTACTATGTAGTTTGACATATCAAATACGAGATGTATTATAATACAAGTAAAATGACAAAAAGTAACTGCGTAACATTTGCAATAAATCTCTGACCATAGATCTTTCAATGATTCTTAATTCCAGATCAAGTCTGAGTTACAGATTTCTGATTTCGTAGAGTGATTTTACAAATTTGCATACCTTGATAAAGATATAATATATAAATTGATATTTACTGATATTAAATTAAAATAAAAATTAGTTATTAAATCTGCAATATTGCATCCAGTAAGATAAAAAATTTGAGTTGTTTATAAAATAAACTTTTTTATAAAATATCTCTTTTTTATATTTGTTGTACGTAAACGCTGTTTCGTTTTAACAGATGTCGGAGCTAAGGCTTTCGTGCATCGCGTGAAAGAACGATCTTGTGTGAATCCAGAAATGTAGGAACTTTTTAAAACAAAACGTACAAACGAGTCGCGAGAAGTTTCCGTATAGGGCCTCACGACCTTAAATAGTAGCTTGCTATCGGCTCTTTTCTATATACTACTTTTTGATACAGAAAAACGATCGCACGTGCATTAATTATAACCGCGGGAGCAACAGAAGTAAATTTCATACTAATTACACAATGATTCTCATACTAATTATACAATCCTCTGTTCGAGCATTTTATCCTCGTTCATCTTTTGTCCGAATTATATAAGGCGTCTCGCAACAACACAATATAAATAATCCAAATACTTCCTTGCAAAAAAGATTTTAAATTCAAATAAAAATGAGTATAAAGAATTAATGGCAACATTTTCATAATATAATAATTTTCACAGAAAAGTGTTAAATCGGATTTTTTTTTCTATTTTTATATTTCAATTAATCTAATTATCTATTATCAGTCAATTTATTTGTTTGCCATGGTGCCATTTTTGGGCAGATTAATTGCTCTAAATTACTTGGCCCTATAGTTAATTTTGATACACTGTATTTTTATGAGTCATGATGTTTTTATCAGAGATCTTGAACTTATATGATCATATCTTGATTCTTGTCAATAAAGAATATTCAAAATTTGAATTCATAAAAAATTTTTGATAAGAATGAAGAAATAATTGTAGAAGTTTAAGATATTCGATAAAAACATTATGATTCACAAAAATATATTTTATCGGATCCAAATTAAGTGCATTAAGGTCAAGTGATTAAAAGCAATCAGTCCTGGAAATGTTATGCCAAACAAATAGCAATCTGAGAACTATTTTCACACCTGTCCCCTTGCTATACGTCGAAAAAAAATATTTAAAATTTTAGTTTAGATTAGGTTCGTCAATCGTTTATTTATCAAGAGATGTTCTAAATCTTCGACTTAAAATATCGGTGCAAAGTGTACAATTAGCGCAATCATATAACGCGTACGTTTGGCTATCACGGAAAGTAGCACCTTCCCGATTTTCTCCTCAATAACCTGATTTCCAAGAATGAGTAGTGATGAATATCACGGTCGGCCAGGTGGTGGAACTTATTTCGGCAGGCACACGCAGAAATAAATGTTTCAAACGCAGTCAGAGCCGTGCCGGTGAGTCAGTACGACGGCCAAAATGGCAAACGCTGTAACAAGAGTGATTCTTCGCTGCGAGGAGGCGCAGGAAAACGAGAACCTCGGTAAATTGCAAAATTTTCGGTGAAAGCGATTGTTCTTGATTCGATTTAAGGCCATTACATGTAGAAAAATTTTAGCTACAATCGTAAAGTCTCAAACAAATCAACCAATCACAATCAAAATTGCCATCTCACGTTTTAGAACGCTCACATATATGATTGGTCGATTTGCTTACGGCCTTACAATTATGACTAAAATTTTTGTACGTATAATGGCTGTTACTCGCGCTTAAAATTCAACAGAAAGGTTACTAATTATTATTAACGAATTCTCGCAGCGAGATTTCCACGTGTTTTTGTAACGTGTTTCGCATTGGTGCACGATTGGGACATCATAGCAATAATTATAAAAATGCGACTGGACTGATACAATTCGACGAAATTTCATTATATAATTTTCTCTTTACGTCAGATTTTGAAGATTTCGATATTCAACAGAACATCCAGATTTGCAAAACAATTTATATTTTTTATGACATCAAATCTGTTTTTCTATAATAGCTGAACTAGTATCCATAGGATAACTCTGGTAAATACGCCACGCTGAGATTTATATCGCAGAAATAAAAAAAAATAGGAGTGAGGGTAATTTTTCCGTCACTCTCTCTCTCTCTCTTCTATTACATGCCGTTATATTAATTTTGTTATAATTTTCTATAAGTTTCTTATTATTAATCTTAATGAAATTATTGTGAGTTGAATCGATTTGTCTTAAGTAGCGCCATCATAAATTATAATCTATATAAAATAATTATTATAAGATGCGTAAAAGACTTAAGTGTTATTTCGTGATGCATAAGTGTAGAGGAATAATGAAGTATATTGTATAGCAAAATACAAGTGCTTTACTCTTGTACTTTTTGTTTAGTTTGTTGTCTTGTATATCCCACCTGTTTGGGATATACATTTTTAGCGGGCTGGATTTATGCCCAAAGCATACAAAGTGCACAGATTGGATTCAGTGCACCAAATGCATGCATCTGCGAACAATAAACGCATTACATGAAATATGTACCTCATATAATAACAGTTGTAATATACATACGTAGGAAGTTGTAATTATTATCTATTACTTCATATACCATACATGTTTATCATTCTTATTCCTTCATAAAACTTTGTAAATATATTTTATAAATGATAAGTTATTGTTATTTTACGTCTTACTTATAAGCTACTTATTATTATTTGTAAATTTTTTATGAGCCGTACATATCCCCCTCCCCCCCCCTTCACTCCCTATGAGTAGCCGTATATTTCGTCCCTATATAAATGCAAGAGTTTTAAAAAGTTCTTTTTTTTAATACGAAAAATAGGTATTTCGAATTTTTAATATTTTTTTCATAGCAGTACAAAGTTTTTACTGATATAGTTCGTTTACCTTAAAAATAGTAAATAATATTTAATAAATTAGTTAAATAAGTTTTTGTTAGGTGAGGCGTATATATCGGAGTTATCCTACTTGTGTAAGTGTTAAGAGTATTTGTGACACTTTTAAAACAAAATAAAATTAAAGTGAAGATTTATTATTTACGAAAAATTGACGAAAGCAAGAAAGCAAGTTCTAGAGCAATCTAGTGAGGGAATAAAAAGCAGACTTGCAAATTTTATCTCTCTTAATCGAACTCTTTGATAGCTTCGATATAAAAAATGAAAAAGAAAATATTCTTTATTATACATGTAGAGAATAAAGAAAGCCATTTTTCTTAATACTGGAATTTGATTAAAATTCTTTGTTTGATTTTACGAAGCGTTAACAAGTATACGTTTAAATTGTTCCTTGATGGATTTTCTAAATCGGACAATTCCGCGGTTTGTTATCTTCCCGGAACTGCGCGCTCCGATGTTATAATGATCGCGATGATTGATAAATATATAATACAGAATGCATTTGTTCCATAACGCGTTCGAGTTAGCTTCAACGACGAACGGTCTTCCGTGCTGGAAACCGCACCAGAGAAAGCGTGAAACGCGGTGCACTGACGTTAAGTGCACTTTCAGCAGTTATGATGCGCTTAGATTGGCGTTTTCCCATTTTTTTTTCAAGTACACGGAACACTTTTACAATTTTATTATTACAACTTAACTAATGCTATCAAAATTTGACAGCGAGAAAATCTCTCGCTCTCAATATTCTGTTTAATTTTAATCGTATAAAAGGAATTCTATTCGAGAGTCGAACTAGACTGTGAGATAAGACATTGGAAGAATAAAAATTTATTTTGGTTCTAGATTCTCTTTTGATATATTAGAAATTTTATTTTATTTTGGAAAAAGAGTTAATTATTTTAGCTTTTTCACTAGAATATTGACATTTTTGGAGATTATTATTGAGTATTAAAAGAGAAGGACATTTATATAATGATTATGATAGAATATATTTCAAAAGTAAGATCGAATGAACAAAAAAGAAAAAGAGACGTTTATATAATGATGAATAATAGGATATATTTTGAAAGATGTAAGATTGCAGTGAGCAATGGCCTTCACTTTCAGTATTTATGAAAGATATGCAATCAGTCCTCTCTTTCAAAGGCGAAAAAAATAAAAAATAAATTTTTATTTTAAAATATATTTATTTCAGAATTTGATTCTAAAATTCTAAATTTGTTATTTTAAAAGTTTATTTTAGTTTATATAAGCGGCAGAAATTTAACGGAATCTTGGAGAATAATAGTTTAAAAACAGTATTATGTTATTTTTTTTCCAGGAAATTGTACGTTCTTTCGTTTTACTTTTTAGACTTGTCGGAGTGCCAGCTCATGCAAATCCCAGACGCAGTCTACCATCTGATGCGGCACACAGAGCTGAAGAGATGCGACCTCTCCGGCAACGTGATCACAAAAATTCCAGCCAAGTTTGCCGTGAAATTTTCATTAATCACTGGTGAGGGATAAGCTAGAGTAGCTTCAGATTGCTGTCTTTTTCTCTATTTAAAATTTATTTTCTCTATATAAAATTTATTTTTAAGAAAATTCTTTGCTTAATATCCCACATTATTCAACAAAACACGTTTGCAGAACTAAATTTAAGCCACAATCAAATGAGCAAACTGCCTGAGGAATTAGCCGAACTGCAAGCTCTGGAGAGACTCGATATCTCGCACAACACTTTCATCGCTCTACCATCTGTGGCTTGGCGGATACCGCACTTGAAACGACTTCTCGCTAACAACAATTTTATCATCGGTTAGTACCGATTAATTTACTATTATATAAGATTTTATATAAGTATTATCAGTATTTCAAATAAATAACGGGTATAATACATCTACTCCTCTCTGGATGAGGAGTAGATGTATCCATTTTTAGGAAAATATCCACAAAAATAACGTAGTTA